ATATCTGCCCAATTATACAATAAAGCCACCAAATGGTATAAAGTGTGGACCAGAATGTTGCTCAAAATAAATAAACTCCTTATTCAATTCAATTCAATTTTATTTTATTTACACAGCGCCAAATCACAACAACAGTCGCCTCAAGAGGCTTTATATTGTAATGTAGACCCTACAATAATACATACAGAGAAAAACCCAACAATCGTATGAACCCCTATGAGCAGCACTTTGGCGACAGTGGGAAGGAAAAACTCCCTTTTAACAGGAAGAAACCTCCAGCAGAACCAGGCTCAGGGAGGGGCGGGGCCATCTGCTGTGATTGGTTGGAGTGGGAGAAGCAAGACGGGATAAAGACATGCTGTGGAAGAGAGACAGAGATTAATAACAAGTATGATACAATGCAGAGAGGTCTGTTAACACATAGTGAGTGAGAAAGGTGTCTGAAGAAGAAATACTCAATGGTTATTCACAAGGAATCACCACATAGTTGATTTGGTCCCACGTGGGGCCACACATGTGGGTTGGTCCATAGTGGGTCTGACTGTATAAAACCCAACATTCAAAACTACTGTAAGCCCTGTGTTCACACGCCCAGTTGGGGCCCACGTGGGATAACTTTGTGTTTGCTCCACCCACACAGCCCCAAAGTTCACCTATAACTAGTCACTGTGGACCTGCATGGGCATTTCTGCCAGTTAAGGCAGGTAACATTTAAGTCTAAACATAGCCAAGCTGGCAATCAATAAAGTCTCCCACAGCTGAACTGTGTATCATGGTGACTCTACCCTCTCTTGCCACCTCATGGAAAAAGAAACTACAGTCTTGTAGCTGTCGACAACTGCAGCCATTCTCTTTTCGACACCTCCAGGCCCGGCCCTCTGAGTACTGTATGTGTGAAGTGAGTGCAGCTAGAAATGTGCAGAAACATGTGTACGCCACACTGTTTGTTTGTTGTAACAGGTTGAACGACCAGTGGGTGGAAGTAGCCGGTGACTTGAGAACGCTCATTAGGAATTTATGAAGCGCTAAAATGTTTGGTCTCTGGGGAGGGGGGATTGGCAGCCGTCGCACAAGCATGCTGGGGACAGGAGGAGGTAGACCGCATTAGCAGAGAGCAGACATACAGTAGAGATGCAATATTTACAAAGGGTGACTGACAGAAGCTGCTCATGCGACAGCCCTGCAGGACTGCTGATCACTCTCTGTTCACTCGCTCTGTGTGCAGCGAGGAATTATCATTTCCAAGTTTGTATATGTGCAATTTTTTTATTTCGTTTGGAGATGCAGATAGCAGAGCTGATTACAGTAACACATTGTAGGCAATACTTGTTTCTATAGCACAAAGAAGCATGTGGGCAGCATTTCAGCAAGCTTCATCACATCTACAGGCTTTGCCGTTATCATCCTTGTACATTCTGGTAAAAATATGAATTCCATTACATGTAACGGTGCATGCATACAGGAAGTGGCTGCAAGCAGCATAGCAACCAGAGACCACAGAATATCAGTGACCTTCAGTGACGCTGAGTGAAAGAACCTCTTACAATATTGCATATTTTTAATAAAAGATCCTCAGTCACACTTTTGTGAAAATTAAGGTGAGCTGAAGAGTCAGCTTAAAGGCACTGAGTGACAACCAGTCATTTTAAATGTGCATGGGCCATGACCCTTATATCATATTAATGAAGAAACTTTTGTCATTAACTTCATAGGTGGTACCCTGCATGGTCCCTGGTGACACTGTCACAATAGATCTAGTAGAGTCTTTTTCAATGCATTGCACATTACAGAGGCAGCACCCAATAAATATGTGTTTCAGCTATGTTTAAAAGACATTAAAGACAGCAGCGTTCACGTTTGCTTAAAACCTTCTTTAAGTTTTAGTTGAAAAAGTGAAAGAGTAAACTAGAGTAAATGAGTAAAGTATTATTTTTGAAGCAAACTAAGCCCGGATGTCTCTTCCATCTGAATTTAGACGTAATGTAACATATTTTTAAACCAAGAGCTTTAACCTGAAAAACAGTGTCAATGGACGCTCGGTGCTTGGTGGGATATTCACCTGTCTGATAGACAAACAAGTTTCATGAGCATCTCTAAATTTGAATCGAAACATAAAGCAAACTGATGTTTACCTTTGTGTTTGTGAATGAATGCTGCTAACTCAGCTCAATTAGGACTGATCAAAACCTGTAGAAATAAAACACATATAAAAACAATCATGTGATTATGATGAGCAGCACAACATACTCATTTTAATGTCTTTTAGCTATGTTTCTAATGGCGATCTATATAATTATGATGCATTTTCTCCTTTGCCTTGGCATCATTTCCTGTAAGACACAACACTGTTGTTGAATCTCATCTATTGGTGATGAATCTCTTAAATAAATATTACCGCTGAAGGTCATACAATTTCCTCGGGGAGAGAAAATCGTATAAAAGGAACTACAGTAAGCGACAACTGTGATACATATGGAGTGTTTGTAGATTTATAGAAACATGTTACAAACACACATCATGACTTTATTTTGCACTGGATGCACTAAACGAGTTCTGCTGTCTTACTTGGGTTCCAGCCAATAAACATATCCTGGCTGCATGCCGACAGTGTGGGTTGTCCATTACAGCACAGAGCTGCATTGTCAGTTTTTATCCACAGCGGTAACTTACTGCTGGGGAAGTGCATCACATTACATTGACTTGCTTCATTAGTTAAGATGACTAGAAAACATCTTCTGTTGCACACATGACAAATTCACAGCTTACCAGCTGGTGCATGTATTTTATGGTAGTCACCGAAACGTATTCTCAGTGAGTGCTTGATGCCACAGCAGTAATATGATATATCGTTGTTGTAATGATGAATAATTTACTTTTTAAATGCAAAATTAAATATTGCTGTAATGGCTTTTAGATCTATTGTAAAATGTAGGCACAAATGTGTTTGTCAAGAGAAAACGTATGGATATTTCCCTGTGAGGGTTAAAATACAAGTTCCCATTTAGAGTTTCCAATTAATAATTAGTTAAGCTGAAAGTGCTGAGTTTTTTTTTAATTTAAAAACATACATTCACTGTCATTACAAAGAAACAAATTCGTCAGAGCTCAAAGAAATTCAGTAGCATAGGTCCTTAGCTTGGAGTTTGTTCTCCTCGTGTTTCGTGGGTTCTCTCAGGGTACCTCCCCCAGTCCAAAGACATGCAGTTAGTGGGGCTAGATTAATTGGAAACTCTAAAACTAAGTGCCCACAGGTGTGAATGTGTCTGTGTGTGGCGACCCCAAGACAGCTGGGATAGGTTCCAGCCCCCCCGCGACCCTGAAAAGGATAAGCGGCAGAGGATAGATGGTTGCATAGAGGTCCTTAGCTCAACCACCTCACTTTGGTGTGGTATTGCAGACAATGCATAATATCAGAAGGTGGTAAAATTGAGCATAGTCATTGTCTTGATGTGTTCCATTTTTGTGACTTAGAGGTAGGGCTGGGTGATATGGCCTAAAATTCATATCGCAATATAATTTGAAGCACGTGCGGTAACAATATATATCGCGATATATTCTTTTCTTCTGTATAACGTATTTTCCACACTATAAGGCACACTTAAAATCCTTTAATTTTCTCAAAAATCGAGAGTGTGCCTTATGTATGAATTCTGGTTGTGCTTACTGACCTCGAACCGATTTTGGCTGCAGAAATCTGTTAAAAAATGTTTTAGTACAACTTTGGTAAGCCGCACTGCTTGATGGATTGTCAGAGCATTACGGCTGCCGTAGTGAGGAGCTTTGCGGAGTAATCTGGGTCCAAAACTCCGTCCGCTTCAGGTCCCAAAGTCAAACGAACACTAAGAGTTAAAACGGTCTAAATTCTTTCATCTTTAATTAAATCATCAGCGTTGCTGCTTTATCGGGTGTAACAATTAAGTTTTACATCCATGAAAACAGAATTTATTAAATTTAACGGAGTTAGAAGTTAACAGGAAGTTAGCTCGCTAGTTTCCACCTAAACATTTCATACCATGTTCTGACAGAGAGATTTTTGAAACTAATTAAAACGTACGGCTCTGCTACCACTTCTGACATAAATGAAGACAGAAAACTAAACAGCAGTGGCGTTTTCAGGGTTACTGAAGTTGGACTACCTGATATATAATGTTGTGCTACGTGATTGCTAGCGACACAGCTATGTTAGCATAGCATTAGCACAGTGAAGCTGGAGGATGAACGCCAACTTTTTTTCCACTCGATAAAGCGCAGTTTTTGGCTTTCCCCTTATTTCAAAAGTGCTTCATCTCTTTGCTATGACTGTCGGCATAATTTGCAGATGATAATGATTTTAGCCGCTGCGATGCTTTCGACCAAAACAGGCGCAGCTTGATGACATCATCAACATGCGCTATCGCGATAGAGAGATATAGTCAAAATCTCTATCGTTGGCCAAATTTATATAGTTTCTATCGTATATCGTTTATATCGCCCACCCCTACTTAGAGGACAATCCATCCTGGTGATAACACAATCAGACCCTTTGGTGAATACATTGTGGGCCGCGGGCCTTTCTTCTGACCGCACCTTTTAGAAGAATTTTGTTTCTATTTCTTGGTGAGCGATTTAAAAAAAGTATTTTCTTAACAATAATGAAAGTTACTGAACTGACTCTGGTATGGATAGACGCACTTTGTCTGTAGGCAGGTCTGGCTTTCTCTGCAGCTCTGTAGTTTCACATCTACTACTACTCTCTGGGGCCTTGCTGCAGTGTCTCTTCATAGACAACAAGAAACACACTCCTGCCACCTCTTATCACTGCAGCGAGGACAAACACAGCAGCCAGCCTGTGAAAAATACACTTGGCCTAAATTAAAGAAAAAAATCAAATGCAGTAGAGCACTAATATGTAAATATGGTTGTTCTCTCACAGATCTTTGAACGGGTCCTTTCTTGGTAGTTATTAAAGGATTCGCCATGCCGTGTCTGACGTGGTTTTCTGATCTCATTTCTCTCTGCAGTTTTCGGTGAAGATCTACGTTCCAGCTTATATTTTGTCAATGCATCTGTGCAAGAGGTAGTGTTTGCCAGCACCACAGGGACATCGGTGCCCTGTCCCGCCGCAGGTGTGCCTCCTGTCTCACTGCGCTGGTACCTGGCCACCGGCGAGGAGATCTATGATGTGCCAGGGATCCGTCATGTGCACCCCAATGGCACCCTTCAGATCTTCCAGATCCCCCCTTCCAGCTTCAGCAAACTCATCCACGACAATACCTACTATTGCACAGCGGAGAACCCCTCAGGGAGAATCAGGAGCCAAGATGTTCACATTAAGGCTGGTCAGTTTCTCTGCTCGTCACTCTGTTTTGTTTTCCATTGGGTCGTCACATCGCAAATCAGCAAACTTTTAGAACAATTTATGCTCCGATTTGGATACAGATTGGTCAAAAGTTGAAACATATATGATAAGTGCTGTGCCATTTTAAGTTGACATATCAAATACTTTTCAAGATAATTTATTTTTGAAAACTGGTCTGTTAACCCACTTTCAGGTCATTTTCCATACAGTGGAATCTAATATTTAAACATGAGTATATCAAAAACTATTAAAGATAAAAGCCTGAATTTCTATTTTTCTAACTATAATTTGGGGCTTATTTTAACAAAAGTCTAATAACTGGATATTTAAAATATGAAAAACTGTCCATCACTGCTTCATATTCCCATATTTGAGAAAACAAAAAACTTCACATAGAAAAAGACTAGTGACAATGTCTGAATAGTATATAATTATATCTCACAATAATGCAAAAAAAAAACAGAATCTTAAAATTCTTAGTCACAAAAAATAAAGAAAATTATATTTTCATTCAACTTTTATATAAAGTAAAATCCCAAAAGGACAAAATTCAGATTCCAGTTTCCAGATGATACTCAGTTATAAGTAGAAATCAATGCTTTCGAACATGTGAATGAAAAAAGCATTTTCCTCAGTATTGTGAATAAGAATTTCTTGTTGAAAGGCGTTCTACATGCTTTATTTTGCATTATTGTGAAATACAGCTATATATCTTTCAAAAAATGTTTTTTATTAGTGTGTTTTCAAATATTAGACTTTACAGGATGAAGTATATTTGAGGTTCAATTCAATTCAATTCAATTTTATTTATATAGCGCCAAATCACAACAAATGTCGCCTCAAGGCGCTTCATAGATACAGAGAAAAGCCCAACAATCA